TGATGTGCAGTGATATTTCTTCTAGAGACTTCTTTTTTTTCTCCTTGGGACCGGGTCTCAGGAGGAGAGTCCGTGGGACACAGGGCATGATTATTTCACTCTCCAGGAAGTAGTTCATGTCTCTACAATTTTATACAGAAGAGCTTCACTGTGTCCTGTGCACACTTTCTCCCACCAAGCCCTAGGCTGCCTCTGATCTTTTCACTGCCATTTCCAGAAGGTCATATAGTTGAATTCATACTAACCCTTTCTGACAAGCTCCTTTTATGCAACACGGATTTAAGATTCCTCTTCTCTTCTCCTAACATCATGATGGTGCATTCCTTTTTAGCATCAGCTATCATCCCATTGTTGAATGTATCACAATTTATTTGTCCCTTTATTTATCCTACTGACGGATAAGTTGGTTACTTCCGGTTTGGGGTCAATTGTGAATAAAGGTACTATAAACATTCTAGTATAGGCTTTCTGTGGATTGTTTTTAACCCAGCAGCATGTTTGCTCAGTTGTGTGTTGGTGATATTGAACATGTGTTATATGCTGATTTGCCATCTGTAAACCTGTTTTGGTGAGTGTCTCTCAGGTCTGTAACTTTTTTTGTTTGAAATGAGTTTTTTTTTTTTTTTATGAACTGCTTGAAGTTATTTTCTTTGTTAAAAAATAATTTTTTATTGAGATTAAGGGATTATATAAATTTCACAGATTTCACGGTATTGTGGGATAGTGAACACATTTTAACCTTCACGAGGTGCATTGTTAATATCATGGTCTATAAAGCTTATGGACACTACAAACTTTGACACTCCAGCTATTTCTTCCAAATTGAGTGATATTTACATTTCTTCCCTTTTGCCATCTGTAAGCTGTTACTTCTTTCTTTCTTATTCCCTCCCTCCCATCGCTGCTCTTGAGTTGCTTATTTTCATCAAAGTCCAGTGCAGCTAATGGGCCCCTCTGTTGTATATTTTCCCCTGTTTTTCCCTCCGATTCTGTGCCTGCCTCCTAGCTTCCCTCAGTGTAACTTAGTTTTAAAATTGGGTTATTTCCTTATTAAGTTTGAAGAGTTCTTTGCATATCCTTCAGAAAAGTACTAGAACTTATATAGTTTCTCAACATGTTAATTTCTCTTTTTTTCTCCATACATTTTTAATTTTTTTTTTTTTTTGGTGCCAGTCCTGGGGCTTGAATTTAGGACTTGTACTGTCCCTGAGCTTTTTTATTCAAGGCTAACACTCTACCACTTGAGCTATATAGCTTCACTTCTGGCTTTTTTGGCGATTAATTGGAGATAAAAGTCTCATGGACTTTCCTGCCCAGGCTGGCTTTGAACCTTGATCCTCAGATCTCAGTCTTCTGAGTAGCTACTATTATAGGTGTGATCCACTGGCACCCAGCTAACTAAAAATCTTTTTTAACAAATATTTTACAGGTTTGCAGTCCATTTGAATTAGAATTTGAGTACTTTGAAATTGTAACATTAATGCTGTGTTGGTAAGAGGAGATGAATGCATCCAGATATTCACAATAAATGATAAGTTACCATCTCTATTTAAGATTTTAGCTGTTGAGATGTGTCTGGTCTGTTTGGAAGTTGATATAAAATTATTATTTACAAAAGAGCATGTTGAGCTGGGAGCCGATGGCTCACGCCTGTCATCCTAGCTACTCAGGTGGCTGAGATATGAGGATCACGGTTCAAAGCCAGCCCAGGCAGGAAAGTCCGTGAGACTCTTATCTCCAATAAACTACTAGAAAACCAGAAGTAGCACTATAGCTCAAATGGTTGAGCCTTGCCTTGAGCTGAAATGCTGAGGGACAGCGCCCAGGCTCAGAGTTCAAGCTCCATGACTGACAAAAAAACAAAAAACAAACAAACAAAAAAATCCACATTGATACTTTATACAGTCATCAAGTCATCACACTTAATTTTTTTTCAAAGAAAATAATCTGGTTTAAAAAATAACTACACACTCTTTTTTATAGGTACATGAAGTCTCGCTTAACCTATTGTCAAATTAATGATGTCATTAAAGAAATCAACAAGGCTGTGGTTAGTAAATACAAGATTGTCCACCAACCAAAAGCATCTCTGAATTCTGTGAACAGAAATCTCTATCACAGATTTATTAATGAAGAAACAAAGGATACTAAAGGTAAAACCATAGCATATATTTGTGTGTATTTGCCAGCTATTTTGGAGAATAACTAGCATGAGGAACACATTTTTCTAATTCTGGAAAATTCTAAATCGAGAATGAATTCTCAACCTGGGTCAGTTTTCCCACTGAGGACATTTTGTAATAATGCTTGGAGACAGTTTTGGTGTTATAGTTGGGGCAGGGGTTGCTCTTAGCCTCTGAGTGGGGCTCAGGGATGCTGCTAAAACACCCTAGAGTGCACAGGTGGGCCAGTATCCAAAATGTCTCATGCTGAGGCTGAGAAATGTGATGGGAGTCTGTTGTGGAACTCTTGCCAGTGTATGTAGAATTTGAGCAGTGATAGTAATAGTTGGCTGTGTTTATATAGTACTGTGTAAACACAGTATAGTGGGCTCCCTCCTGTGCCCAGAGCTTTTGTCCTTCTCAACACCCTGATCCCATTTTGCAGAGTAGGCAAAACGAGGTCAACTTAGCCAAGAGTATTCAGTGAAGTGGTAGATCTGCCAGGGCTTCTGTTCTTTTCATTGCTCCTGCATCATGCCCCTGGAAAAGGGAGTTGTCCAAGAGATATCAGTAGGGAGTTAGGACTCTAATAAACTGAACTGCAACTTCAGGTTGTTAGAGTAACTTTTATTTTAGCAAGAATGCAGTTTCTGAGTTTGATTGGATAATGACATTGAGAATGATAACGTAGGCTGGGTATGGTGGTACATGCCTCTAATCTCAAATTACGCAAGAGGAGGAGATCTGGAGGATCGTGGTTTAAGGCCAGCCTAGGCAGAGAGTAAGTGAAACCCCATGATCTTCATGCCAGTCATCTCCCAGCACAGGTTCAAGGCCAGTCCCAGGTAAAGAAATTGAGACTTAATCTGAAAAGCAACTAAAAAGTAAAAATGGGCTTCAGCCATGGATTTAAGTGGTAAAACACCTTCGTAATGTGCTCAAACCCTCTCCCTGCCCAAAATAATTATTAAAGCTATTCATATTCACAATCCAGTGCCCTAAAGGTACATCTTGAGGGCTGGATGCATGACTCAATAGGAGAATGCCCTCCTAGCAAGCCTGAAGCCCTGAGTTCAAGCCCCAGCACCACTGAAAAGACAACAGATTCACTTTGAAAGTTGGCTACATACAAGCTTGCACTAACATCTTTATTTTCAGGGCATTATTTTATAGTGGAAGCGGACATAAAGGAGTTCACAACTTTGAAAGCCGACAAGAGGTTTTTTATGATCCTGAATATTTTGCGACACTGCCGGAGGCTGTCAGAGGTCCGAGGGGGTGGACTTACCCGTTACGTCATAGCATGATGGTTTGCAAGCTTCCAACGCAAGCAACAGGAAGGCGCGGGGGCTAGTGCTGGCAGTTTCTCACATATAACTTATTTAGTCTTTTCATTTCCTATGCTGTTTCTTATAGAAATAAAAACCTTTTTAGATATAGCATATATAATCAGATTTCACTGCCTTCCAGCAAGAATATAACCATTTACCATCTAAGCCTCTGAACTAGACAAACACATAATGGAACTAAGAAGTACGCATGTGTAATTTTGTGTTTCATGACATGGATATATGTGTGACATTTGAAAGGAAAGGGGCAAGAAGAGAAGGTCACAGATAGCCAGTCCTGGAATTCCAGCTTCCTTGTGTCTGACTCCATCATCTCAGTCCACAGGTAGACTTTTGAGAAGTGATCTGGAGGTGACCTGTGTGTCTGATTCTTGGGCCTCCTGGACATCCTTAGGGAGTAGTGCCTGAAATTCATACTGTGTAATGAAAATGGAATGCAAGTATGTTGAAATGCCATGATACTGTGATAGAATAAATGTGCATAGTTGATTTTGGTCCCTATGTCTTTACTCTTAAAATTCTTTAGTGTCCTAAGCGATGAGGTGCATTTTTTGTTGTTGTTGTTTGGCTGGGGTCAAAACCCCGCTTCCTGGCATAGAACTCTTAAATCCCTTTGAATTTCCTGCTAACAGGACCATATTTTATTCTAATGAGGTGATTCTTGCTGGGCCTCTGGATCGCTTCAGGGGGCTGCTCATGCAAGCTGTGACAGAAAGGTGCCAACTCTTACCATCCCCTCCCCCCAGTCTCTAAGGGAAGGGAGAGAGGAGCTGGAGATTAAATGAATCCATCATGCTGACATGATGAATGCATACGAAACCCCTAAACTATGGAGTTTGGAGAGCTTCCTGGTTGACAAACACACTGATGTGCCAACAGGGTGGATTTCCCCAACTATTTGGACAGAAGCTGAAAGGAAGCTTCTGGACCTTTCCTTTGTTCATCTGGGTAATTACCTGTACTGTTGTAATAGCCTTTATATAATAAAGTAGTAAATTGAAGCCAAATGTTACTCTGTGTTCTAAGTCACCTGGTCATTTCCACAACAGTGGGGCTATAGGAACACCAATTTGCAGCCACGTCTGACGAGTGTAACCTGGGTTACCCACTGGTTATGATTGGTGTTTGAGTCCTTAACCTGTGGGGTCTCTGCTAATTCTAGGTAGTGTCACCACTGAATTGTGGGACTCACAGTTGGTGCTCAGAGAAGGAGAATTGGTTGCTATAGGGGAAAGGCCCACACATTTGCTATCAGAGGCATGAGGTGAAAGTATTACAGAAGAAAACAGAGCTTTTCCTAGTCAGATGCAAACAATCAAATGTGTGAGCCAGGCTGATTGGGCTCATGGAAGAATGGGTGATGGGATTGTAAGAACTGAGCCTTGTGCCTCTTCTGCACCTGAAGAGACTGTCTGGTCTATTTATAGCTGTTAGCTGCTTGGCAGGCTCATTCTGGTAGCAGAGACAAAAATGTCTTACCACATCCTGGGAACCTGATTAACCCCATTAAAACTGCATGACCATAGTGTATTATAAGCCCTGCATATTTATTATCCTTTCTCCTTCACTTAAATGCAGAGAAATTTCTTTTTTTTTGGTAGTGCTTGAACTACCAATTTTATTTTTGGTGGGGATTGGACTCAAAGCCTCGTGCTTGCTAAGCAGGTGTTCTACCACCTGAGCTGTGCTTCTGACCTTTTCCATTAGTTGCTTCCCAGGTAAAGTCTTGATTTATGTCTAATCAACTCTAGGCTGCAATCCTTCTCCCTGTCCTTCTCTTGCTGGGATGAGAGGCGCTTGGCATTGCACCCAGATTCCCCCATAGCTAGGGTGACAGGCTCTAGCTATCTCACCCATGGAATCTGGAGAACTTTATTCTGGCTTTAAACCATAGTCCCTGACTTGTTTTTTTTGTTTTTTGCCAGTCCTGGGGCTTGAACTCAGGGCCTGAACACTGTCCCTGAGCTTCTTTGGCTCAAAACTAGCACTCTACCACTTGAGCCACAGCTCCATTTCTGGCTTTTCTGCTTATGTGGTACTGAGGAATCGAACCCAGGGCTTCATGCATGCTAGGCAAGCACTCTACCACTCTGCCACGTTTCCAGCTCATAATCGCTGATTTGTGCTTCCTAAGTAGCTAGGACAACAGGCTTGAGCCAGTGAGCCCAACAAATGCAGTTTTTTGTTTTTATTTTTGCTAATTTTTTTGTTGGCTGTAGGACTTGAACTCTGGGCTTGGCACTGTTCCTGAGCTCTTCAGCTCAAGGCTAGCGCTCTACCACTTGAGTCACAGTGCCACTTCTGGTTTTCTGGTGGTTCATTGGAGATAAGCGTCTCATGGACCTTTCTTCCTGGTCTGGCTTTGAACCGTGATCCTCAGATCTCAGCCTTCTCAGTAGCTAGGATTACAGGCATGAGCCATGGGTGCTGGTGCAGTTAAGTTTTTAATTAATTAATTTAGTGGTTCTGGGTGGCGGGGGAGGGGGAGGGAGATTAAATCTAGCCCCTTTATCATGAGACACAACTATACCACCAGTGAACAACATCCCACCCTTGTTTGGTTGGGGACAAGATCTGGACGTGTTGCCTCAGCTGACCTTGAGCACCTGGGCTCACTCAGCTCATCCTCCTACATTAACGCTGGAACTCCAGGCACGTGCCATTGGATTTAAATTTAAGCAATGGCATTATCCTTTATTTTGGCTTAAGTCTTGCTTAATTTTTCTATGAATCACTTCTCCCTGTGAAAACATTCTGTTTGCTTAAAATACTTCTTCCTGCACACTCCTGTGGAACAACTGCTGGCCAGTTTGTTTCACTTTTGCTAAATGTATGCTGAGGAGAACCGCTACTTTAATTGTTAGCGCATAATCCATTTATTAGTTTAGTTGTATAGTTAATAAAGTCATCCCTCAAGGGAAGGCATAAATTGGAAGAAAAGAACTAATCTCTGTTTACTGAAATTTTCCTTTCAAGTAAAATGACAGGCTATATTTTCTTTCTTACTTTCCTTTTGGGGGGGGCGCGGTGCTGGTACCAAGGATTGAACTCAGAACCTCACACTCTTACTTGGTTGACACTCAGGGATACTACTTGAGCCACACCTTTAGCTGGTTAGTTGGAGATAAGAGTGACTTGGATTTGTCTTTCTGGTTGGCTTTGAACCCCAATCCTCAGGTCTCCACCTCCTGAGTAGTTAGGATTACAAGTGTGAGCCTCTAGCATCTGGCTACTTCCTCTTTTTTTTTTCAAGTTGTATTTTTACACTAATTTTGAGGAACTTTTGTATTCTGGGTGTCTATCCTTATGTCCCTCTCTTGCCTGTCTTTACTCTCCATCCACTTAGGGGAACACTTCCTGTGTGCTGTGAGGTGAAAACTCAAGAACCTGACACATGTGGTCTGCTCCACCAGCCTCCAGCCCTGGATTACTCCCCGCCCTATTACTCCTCCCCCCTCTTTGCCCCCCTGCAGGCTGCTGCAGATGTGGGTTGGGAGATACTGTATTTATGTGACTTTCCACCTAACAGGTAAGTGAGTATGAACAGGAGTTTATTCTAACAAAGTGAGGGGGGTGCCCCGGGAAAATGAGAACCCTCGTGACCCAAAGCAAGTGGGCTACAGAAGTGACATCCATTGCCAGGTTCACCAGTGGTTCATGCCTGTAATCCTAACTACTCAGGAGGCTGAGACCTAAATAAGGATTGAGGTTTGAAGCCAGTCCAGGCAGACAAATCCAAGAGAATCTAGCCAACACAAAGCCAGATGTAGAGATGTGACTCAAGGGGTAGAGCAACCAGCCTTGAGCAAAAAAAATAAGCAAGCCTGGGTACCCTTGGCTCATGCCTTTAATCCTTGCTACTCAGTAGGCTGAGATCTGAGGACTGTGGTTCAAGGCCAGCCTAGCCAAGAAAGTGTGTGAGACTCTTATGTACCAAAATATGTACCAAAATTATGTACCAAAATAGCTGGAAGTGGAGCTGTGGATCAAGTGGTAGACTGTTCTGTTAGCCTGGAGCACAAAAGATCAGGGACAGTACTCAGACCCTGAGTTCAAGCCCCAGGATCAGCACACGCACACAAAAGAGAAAAGGAAAGCAAGAACATGAGGCTGTGAGTTTGAGCCCCAGTATAATAATCAAGGAAAAACAAAAGGAAAAAAGCGGCATCTGAAGGCTGGTTTTATAGACAAGAAAGAGGAAAGAAGGGCCAGCAATAGGCGGCTGTGCTGTTACATTAGTGGCCTGAGGACAGTCATTGATTTGTGATGCACTTAGGCTGTACATTCCAGGAAGGGACTGATATAAGCGGGAACAGCTCTTGGGGTTGTTCGTCATCTTTATGGTGTCAGGGAGTCCACATGCTGCCATGCTGGGGCAGAGTGACCTAGGTAGCTTGTCACATGCCTCATGCTTACCTAGACTTAAGACATTTGTGGCCTCATTCTTGTGTGACTTTAAATCCTTTATTACCATACAGCCTTCAGTCTGTTCTTGTATTGGTTCTGGGGTTTTTGTATTTTTTTTCTTTTTCATAGAGTTGGTTATTTGTATGTGACTTGACCCTTTCCCTCACCCGTCAACACTGGCTGTCAGGAGAGATCACCCCTCCTAGGTATATTCTGTCTCCTTCATCTTCTGCTTCTTAACTGGTCCTTGAGTTCTTGCTCTGTTGCTGTCTATTTCCCTTATAAGTGTCTCTTCTACTAAGAAGCCTTCCTTGATGTTCTTTATTTCACAGAACAAAAGTCAGCTCTGTATGAAGTCCTCCAAGACACTTCTTGGCCCCTTCTCAACCTGGGGTGTCATCTACCCCTCCCTTCAAAGTGGCTGTACTCCAGCGGCTTTGGCCTCCATGCTGTTTCTGGAGCAGGGTGAGTGTGAGTCGCCCTCACACCTTCCCATTGGTGGTTGTCTGCCCAGAGTTCCCTGGCTAGCTCAGGTGATCTCCCCCTAACCTGCTCCATATCTCTGATCATTTTCTCTTGAACCCTTAGGCCTTCCAGCCAACTTTTATTAAAAAAAAATCTCGGTTCCCTTCTGCAGTAATAATTCTCCCGTTCCCTGCTTTCTTTTTCTTCACTGCTTGTAATAATCTGATGGTTAGTATTTTTACTTCATAGTTTTCTCCCATTTTCTCCCTCCACTAGAATTCGAGGGCAGGAGTTTTTGCTCCTTTTGTTCACTGCTGTCTCTGCCTCTAACAGTTGGCTACACTAGAGGGCGCTGAAGAAATAGTTAGTGAGTGCACTTTAACTGGAACAGTAATAGATGATCCTAGGCACCAGCCTCCACTTCTCTGCCTCCATTTCCTTCTGTATATACTGAAATGGTTGCCCTAACCATTCCTTAAAAACCCTCTATTTTTCATATTTATGTTTCTAATATGTCCAGTTTCTGGTGAGAAATACATTCATATTGAAATTAAAGGATTTTCTGTCTGGCTAGATCCTAAAAATGTAAATGGGAGAAAAATCTGGTATTTGCATAGAGATCATCCCTCTTAAAGAAACAGTTTCTAACTCGTTAAGCTTTAAGATATATTAAATTCTAAGTTAAAATGACATTATTTAGCAAACCTTTATTTATCAAATGCTTTCATTGATTAAGGACTTTCCTAAAGATGATTCTTTTTCCATCCAAACTAAAAGACCCTCTGATTTGGTTTTCTAATTGATTTTGTTTATTAGGTGTGGTTTTAGAATGTCAGAGTCTATAAGTACACTATACATAATCATAAATGAAATTTATGGTCCATTGTATAGAGCTGCATAGTTTGTTTTATGAAACTTCTCATCTGCTAAATAAACCAACACTGTTGTTCTGTGGTTGTATTTACTAATGCAAGTGGCAAAGGAAGAGGGACTCATGACATTGAAGACTTCCTAGTATATTTCAAAAAGACTAGAAAGGAGACCTGTAACATAATAGAGCAAGTGAGCTCTGTTAAAGTTCGGTTAGCTCAGGTCTTGGAAAGTATTTATGAGAAATGATGGT